ATCTTTCAACATAGAAATTACCAACCCCAGGTGGATTCAATGGTAAATTATATAAGACATTTAAGGAAGAAAGGAAGAAATAATACCAATCCTATGCAAACTCTTCGAGAAAATAGAAGAGTAGGAAACACTTTCCAGCTCACTCTATGATGCCAGTATTACTCCGATGAATGCAAAGACATTAGAATAGAAAGCTACAGATTGACATTGATCATGAAAATCGATTAAAAACTCCTTAACAAAACATTAGCAAATTGAATCCAGCAAAACATAAAGAGAATAATAAATCATAACTAAGAGGATTTTAACTCAAGAAAGCAAGATTGCTTTAGAATTTGGTAATCAGTCGATGTAATTCACCATACAGCCAGTCCTCAGTATCCATAGGGGTTTCGTTCCAAGACTCCTCCTTGGATACCAAAATCCAAGGATTCTCAAGTTCCTTACATTATATGGTGTAGTGTTTACACAAAACCTGTGCACATCTTCCTGTATACTTTAAATCATCTCTAAATTACTTATAATACCCAACACAATATAAATGCTGCACAAATAACTGTTATATTGCACTGGTTTTTCATTTGCATTTTCTTCATTGTTGTATTTTTTAAAAATATTTTCCATCCACGGTTGATTGACTCCAAGAATATGGAACCCCAGGATACAGAGGGCTGACTGTATCAACAAAAAACAAAACAACAACCACAAAAAAAACAGAAAATGATATAGTAATCTCAATAGATGCAGAAAAATGCTTTTCACACAACCCAACATCGATTCCGGATTAAAAACCTCTCACCAAACTAGGAATAGAAAGAAACTTCTTTAACCTTATAAACAGTATCTATGAAAAACCTACAGCTTCCATCATATTTAATGGTGAAAGACTGAATACTTCCCCCCTGATGTCAACGATCAAGCAAGGATATGGCTTTCCCATTTCCATTCAACTTTGTACTAAAGGTCCTACCCAGTGCAGTAAGTAGAAAAAAATAAATAGCAGCCACATTGGGAAGGAAGAAGTAAAATTGTCTTTACTCACAAATAACATCATTGTCTATGTTCAAAATCCTAAGAAATGTACAAGGTTGCAGAATATAAGTTCAACTACATTTCTATGAACAGGCAACAAATAGAAATTGAAAAAATACCATTTACAATAGCCTCAAAAATCATGAAATATTTATAAATAAATTAACAAAATATAGTAAGTGCATTAAAAACTACAAAATATTAGGAAACCCCGATCTTTTATAATGAGCCGCAAGCAAATCTGAGCAGCGTTTGTCCCAGAGGGACACACTGTCTTTATTTTACTGTACACCAAACAAATCTGGTCTAAAGAGAGACCGTTTTCCAGGATGTAGGAATCTTGTCTGTCGTATTAATCCCTGAATCCCGGGGCCGAAAACAAGTGCCTAGCTCAATAACATTGAGGGACAGAGGAAGAATTTTGGGAGGATGGATGTGAAGGTAGCCATGGAAGCGTCTGGAATCAAAGCAAAGACAGGCACTGCAGGAGCAAGGCTACCAGGTCTCGCTACCACAGCCCCAGTTCCCTGTTCTCAAATGCTCCAATGACACTTTGTCCTCTGACTGCAGAAAAGCTTCAGTTTTATCAAAAGGTTCCAGTAAACTGTATGCTGCATCCCACTCCTTTGGCTTTTTGTTATTCCAAGAAAGGACCATGACCTCCACCTACCACAATTTTCTTCTCTGTGATGTCACGTGCCCCTTAGGTAATTAGCTGGTTGGCATCAGCTCTGCCAGCTGCTTCATTTAGGCTTAAGCATTTTAGAGATCAACTAAACAAAGAGGAGGCTCCTCTCATATATATTTGTTGAAGGAATTCATCAGAAAGTGACTTTCTGTGGCTGGATCATGGCATCATGTTCTCATGCATTTTCTCCATTTAGGAGACCAAACCCCAGCCTTTCCAGGAAGAAAGAAAGGGTGTCTGATAATCTCAGGCTAATAAAAGATGCGTCCACTCTGGAATTGTCTTCTTACACACTCGATATCACACACAGCCCCGTGGGATAGCAAGCCGAACGAAACGAGAAGGGTGATGGGATACTCAGGACAGAGAAGAAAAAGGCTGTCATCATTTCAAAGAGTTACTTAAATTCCTAATCAAGTCGAAAACTTTGACCAACCAATCAATCTGCAGTTCAAGCACCACACAGAAAATACTGGATCTGATCCTGTTTGGAGCAGTCAGCATGAAATGTAATGAAATTCAAAATAGACAGGATACACAAGCTCCAGAGGGAAGTCATTAATACCCATGAATAATGATAAAGCAAAATACCATCTGCTAGCATAATGTGGTAAATCTCTTTAAAATTCCAATTAGCCTATAAACCAGAAACAGGGAGCAAATATGCTCCCTCTACCATGTGAGACCATGGAGTCCTGATGTCTCCATCGCATTATGTGTAAACTAAAACGTGGGCGGTGGGAACATTACCCATGTATGAAAATATTTTGGAGAATACATTCATTATTCTCTGGGACACGAGTGCTATTTACCTAACCGGGTGGAACAGAAGGTTATAATCTGCAAATTAAGGCCACATATGTATTTTCAGATATATTTTAATGGGGGGAGGAGGGGTATGTGAAAAAATTGGGTCTGTTATAAACACAGTATAATAATTTTGCCATAACAATGTTGTTGGATTTAATCCCTACATGTATTTGGAATCCGAGATAATGAAGCATTTCTATCACTCTGTTATCCCACAGAAAATTGCCTAGTTTATGATGGGTTTTGATATTCTAAGCCATTTTCCTGAGCTGCATTTTATGAAGCACATGGCTATTAAAATCATAATACCCATTATTAGAACTGTTGTATTATAGCCTGAAAAGAAATTGTTCTGATGACAAACGTGTAGAATAGTTCTACAGGCTGAGTAGCCCATCGCTTGTCTTTTGAAATATCTCAAGAAGCAAAGCAACCTACTTCTGAATGCTGATATTTCCCAGTACTGCTTACTTTTCCCATGGTTTGTTGTAGTGTAAATGACACTGGAATTAGTATGTTTGGAATTTCTAATCCCATTGTTATCATTAGTCAGTTATATTATTTTTTAAAAAGTCATTTGTGTCTTGTGATATCTTGTTTTCCTCGTCTAGAAATTGTCTTCCCTGCCATTGTAAGAATCAAAAAAGGGTTATTGTAAGAATCAAAAGAAGTAAATGCAAAAGGATTTTTGAAAAGTTTTAAAACCCTCCAATAGGAAAAGTCATTTTCATTTATCATGACTAGAAAAAGTAAGCAGAGTTGTCTGCATTGCATTAAGAGGAAGAATTATATATTTAAAGAGCAGGACAAAACGAACTCTTCAGGCAAGCTTGGAGCACCCAGTGTTGATGCTGTATCCGGCAGCTATTGTTTAATCAGCAGAATTATTGTTCCCAGTGATCTGTCTCGTTCCCGGGGCTGGAACTGAGATAGAGCCAATGCCCAATCTATAGCCAGCTCCTTGGAGCTTTAAGAAGGTCTGCTCTGATCCGCAGGCTACTTGAATTTGGGTAATAAGGAGTTATGTTGGAATAAGGTGGTCTATTCCGATTGTTAACAACGTAATCAATTTCCATTATCCACGAGTCAAAAATAAGGTGAGTTGTATCATTCTTTTAAATTCCCAAAGTCACTTGCTTTGGCATGCTTCGGAACACAAAACCTCCACGCTCCCACACTTATCACATCTCCTCCAATCCTATTTTGACTCCTAGGCAATGTCGGGCAGAGGAGAATAGAACACCGCAGATAATCTGCAAAGCCAGTGATTCACGCGCAGACGTTTAAGAATTTATGTGGCAATTGTATCTGAAGACTTGAGGGCAACACCGATTTATTTCTGCACACCCTTTGGCCTAGCAATTTCATTTGATGGAATCTATCCAAACAAAACATTACTGTATGTGTGCAAAAATGTATGTTGCAAGGATGTTCATAAAGTCATTTTAATGGCAAAGAATTGGAAACTAAAAATCCATTTTATAGGAAGGAGACTGCATAAATTACAGCACATTTACATAATAGGATCCTATGAAGCTGATAACGAATGAGAGAGTTCTATCTATATATGCGTCTCACAGAGATCTCTAAAACATAGCATTAAAGGAAAAAAACATGATGGACTGCAGTGAGTGATGACATGTCAATGTAGGTTCATCAGCTGTAACAAGTGCAGGGAATGTGGGTGCTGGGAGGCTGGGAGGGTGTGGGGGCGGGGGGTGTATGGGAAATCTCTGTACCTTCCGCTCAATTTTGCTGTGAACCTAAATCTGCTATAATGAATGGTCTGTTTAAAAAAGCAAAAAGCACATTACAAAGCATTCCATACACTGCAATCCCATTTAGGTAAAATATGAAGCAAAAGTAGAGATGCATATATATGTCCATCTGCTGGCGCAAAGAAGGGACTGAAATGCTAAAAGAACACACACCAAATGATTCGGTTTTGCCTCTGGGAAATAGGACAGGGCCAGGGAAGAAGACATGAAAAGACGACTTTCACATTTTACTTTATACACACCTACAACCGTTGAATGTTACACAGAGTATGTGCAGTGCTGTATTCCTTATGTTGGGGAAGAAAACACCACAATAAAGAGAAAAAAAAACAACAAAAAAAGATAGGATCAAAGATAAGGCAGCGTTGGTCATCTTTAAGTCAAATGCTGTGTCTGAGAACTCACTAGCTCAAATAACGTCTTAAATTTTGAATTTTCTACTCGTTCATCAAAAGCCTAACACAGAGTCCTAAAGTATGCTGGACAGGATTGCTTCCATCTTTACAATTAAACTAAAAACACAAATGCTGGAACCTTAGCATAACTTTAAATTATATATATCATTTATTGAAATATAAAGATCTTCATTTGCACGTTTTAAAACAAAAACATGAACAGGGGCATCGGTAACACATCTTGGACCGGCAGACCCTCCCTATCGAGTTAGTTCTCACACATTCACCACACCGTTGTTTTGGGAACATGTTAAGTATTTTTCTCTTTATTATTTCTAAAATATAAATTTTGGACATTCAAAAGTGCAACAGTTAATGTGCCAGTGGGGAATATCACAGTTAAAAAAATATAAACAAAGGCAGTGATACAGCTTGTCATAAATGTTTTGGCAGTATTCTCCAAGTCTATATAGAAATACATATATACATATTGATGTATAACATCATTTAATCTCACGTCCCTCTTCACAAAAATAGGACCATTTTGTACAGATTGGCAGACCACATTTTAAGGACATCATTGATGGTTTAAAAAGTCACAAATTGTGTTTCTCAGGCCAGCTCTGATTGTCATCATAAAAATGGAGAGCAGGAAGGGTTGGCAAATTGTCTTCTGGGGACTTTGCAGAAAGCCAAAAAGGAAAACAAATCTGGGATATGCTGAAAACACCTTTTTAAAAAAAATGTAGTCGTGTACAAATTCAGGTGGGAGCATTTGTTAGGACTGGAAACTGGTGGTCTGAGAGGTTTCCTCCAGCCTCGTGATGTCACGCAAGGCTCAAAGTAACGTCAAAATGCAAAGCACCGACAAAATAAGGCTGTACGAGGGACAGTGAGTGCAGACAATGCTTCAGCGGTGATTCGAGAAATACAAATGTATTTCAAGTCTAATTGGCTCTACAAAACCTAGTTAGGTTTTCGTTCTGAATTGGCCAATCCGGCTCAGTCTTCACACTCCCCATGAAACAGGTGAGTAAGAAAGTTGGGGCTTGCATTTGCGATTACACCAGCGGGTAGTCAAGCATTTTGTTATTGCTTCCACCTCTTCCAAAGCATCACCTGCCGGTAGCACGTACGGTGATTGCAGTAATCACAGCCCATGTTTCTTTCATACGGTGTCAGCGATTAAGCAGTATTGCAAAGAATGCCAGTGAACCCACGCCACCCAGCTTGACAGTCTGGATAGAGGTGACAATTCATCCTCCCATGGGATCCCAAAGTATCAGTACAACTTTTTAATTTTCTTCACCAAAATATTGACCTGGTTATACAGAGACCTGGCACACTGAATTGCATCATTTTTGTAGACGCCTTTCCTTGGCAGGGATGGGGGTGGGGGTGTCGGGTTCAGCCCCCGCCCCAGGCAGCGGGAAGCAGCGTCTTCACATTTGGAAGACCTGCCAAAACCAAGCTTTAGCTTTCTCAGCCTCAGCTAAGACTGGAAAGTTAAATTAATGGGTGGCAATTGCTAGCTCTATGGCATTAAATGTCACTGACCTGAAGCCAAGGATTTAAATAGTAGGCTTCCTACGTGGTTGACTTCTAGCCCAGTTCCAAATTCCAAATTATTTGTTTCCCATGGCAACTTCCTGTAACCTGAGACAGTGTTTCTGAAAACGGGCTGATCTGAACGGCCAAGGAATTTATAAAAATACAGGTTCCTGCTTCCCCAAGACTTAATACTTCAGAATCTCAGGGACAGGGACCCAGAATCTGACACCAGTTACATTTGAGAATGAAGGATGCAGGCTAAGGATGTTTACAGCCTCCGCTAAACAATGCCTGAATAGTCTCAGGGTTTCAAACCTGTTCTCTTTGGGGTAAGAGATAAAAGAAGGAGGCTCATGTCCAGGCATCCTTATGACCCTTTTAAGGGTCACAGATTTAAAATATATATGTTTATTTGTATATGTTGGCATCCACCAAAGTTATCGCCAGGCATGCAACAAACCTCTGCAAATCCAGTCTTTCTGCTGACAATGATATTTTCCACTGGGTAAGAACAGAAGTCATGTTCAGCATAGGTTTGTGTATTTATATTGAGAACATTTAGGACTTGGGGGTTTTGTTTGTTGTTTCTAATCACCTTATTTCAGAGGGCAGTCAATTGTTTTTAATACAATGAGTTGGGGAACCTATTCGGTACACAGTTAAACATTCTGACTTCCTAGACAACACTACTTTTACTTTGTTCTCTATGTTCAACTAAATTAAATCTACTAAAGCTACTACCATATTTTATAGAGAAACATGTTATTTAATATAAATGTCAAACTTGTCACCTACTTAGTAAGGGTTTTTTTTTTTTTTAATTGTGCTTTCTCTGTAGGGAAATCATGTTACATATTATACATTTAGCATAACTGATAACAGTAGTAGTATTATAAACGTAGATTACAATATGAAAATGAGTTCTTGGGCTTCTAAAGGACCCAAATCTATTAAACAGGTTGGTTAATTATTATCCTTTATCTCTTTAACACTAAAAAAAAAAGGAAAATGCTATAGTACCAGTACCTTTTAAGGTTCAAAGTGGTTTTTCATGCACTTCGTAAGAAAGTTCAACAGCAGCTGACACCAGGTTTCGGGAGGAAAGTACACGGATGGCATGAGTGGTCTCCTCAGACGTCCAGAGAAAATACGAATCTAAGCACATCCTCGGTTAGAGTTATTTACATAATTACAATGCTGGAGTTTTGTCGCGGTACAAATTGTGCACATCGGGATTTCACCAATGCCCTTGAAACACAAAGTTCGTCTTTCGTGGCCTATTATTCCCTTGTCCGCCGACCTCCAAACTTCACACACCGCTGAGATGCTACTGAAGCACTGCAAGAAGCAACGCCGAGAAGGTTCCATCTGAACAATGGCCCATTCATTCGTACTTAGATGGCGCCCTGAGGCCCTTGGCTGGGACCTTCTCTTTACACATCGTCCAAGTCCTCCCCCCAACCTCTGCATTGCAATAAAGTGGTTTTCTGAAAGGGGTCCAGAGGTGGCCCCAGGAGTGGAAGGCACCCCGAATCCACCAGTCACAGGAAGCTGTCCTCCACCAGGTCCGAGGAGTCGATGCCGATGTCGTCCATCATGTCAATGTCCTCGATGGTCTCGTCCTCTCTCTTGATGAAGGTGGAACTGCTGGAACCTGTCTCAATGGCACTCTCTTCGGAGGTCTGCGAGCTGGAGGAGGGAGAAAAGCGAACAGGTTAGGCCCACACGCAGGGCAACAAGACTGGCTGCGTTTCGAGGGTGCCCCGCCACCCCCAGGCAAAGGAGCTGTTCCTGCAAGAGCCTTCGACGTTCAAACTCGGGCCGCCCGGGGTGGCCAGATTCTGCCGCCCAGCCCGACACACCGTGCTGGGCCACGTGGAAAACCCAGGTCCACAGGTCATCTCTACGCTGCAGATTTCCTTCTTTTCTGCCAGGTTTTTCATCAACGTTGGTGACAAACAATTTCTGCTTTCCCTACTCAATCCCAGTGGAAGAGAAAATAAGCAATGCCTGATCAAAAGGCCTGGGTGGGGCAGAGCAGAGGGAGGAAGTCAGCTGCGAGCTGCAGCCAGGCCTGTCCCTTGCTCTCCCCGAAGCCTCACGGGTGTCTAAACTGTGTCCTCGGGACTTCCTCCCACTCCCCTGGAATCCCACCTCCCCTTCTCTTTACATCCAAAGCCCCCTGGTCTTGAAGGCCCAGGTGAAGGCAAGTTAGGTACCAGAGTAGAGGCTGAATGGGGGAGTTCTAGAGTCGGAAAGCCTTAGGTCTGGAGCGGCCCCACCGCATACAAGGGCTGTCTAGCCATGTAACCACTATCATTATAGTCACAATGGATGGATACTTTCCGGACAGCTCTCCGACTAGCTGTGTGGCTTCAGAGTAAGTCACTTCGCCTCTTGAACTTGAAATTGTTTCCTTGCCTCTATAATGGTAGGGCAATAATGCCTAATGACCTACCTGTTAGGGCGATCAAATAAGGTAATAACCATAAAGCACTGAACACACTGCCAATTAATTGTTAGCTGTTCTTCTCCCCCAGTAAATGCTAGCTATCGTTGTTATGCAAACTCTTACTTGAATTTGAATAGAGCCTGAACATTAGATGATACCAGGGAATAGTTGTTAATTTTCTTACACGTGCTTGGGCGATTACGGTTATGTAGGAGAGTATCCTTACTCTTAGGAACCGTGTGCTGGAGCATTGGGGATGAAGTATCTTGGCGTTTCCTACTTAGTTTCAAATGACTGAGCAGAAATAAACAAACAAACACATACATAAAGGAGTGTGTGTGTGTGTGTGTGTGTGATACACACAACTCCCGTTACACACATATAGCTCGATAAAGCAACTATGACAAAATGTGAACTAAGTGGTAGACTTATTTTAGCAATATTTCTGTGCATTTGAAATTTTTCACTAAAGGTTTTAGAAAAATACCCTTCCCTAAAGTCTCCACCCTGTCATGATTCTTTGTCAGAACTCCTGTGAACACGCTGTCTTACCACTACCCTGCCTTGTTCTGCTATCTCCGTTTTTACGTGTATCTTTTTGCTCCAACTGCTGATGGATAGAGCAGTTTATTCTCCCTATTGCAAGGCTGCTGCGCCGGGCTGTGCTCATAGCATTAAGCCATAAATAGAGGCTGGCTGGCCAGGGGAAGGAAGCAGACAGATAGACAGACAGACACCACCACTGCCCCTAAACAGGGGCTCCCGACCTCCCTGCCTATCTTGCCCACTGTGACTTCTCAGCCTCTGTCCCCTCCCCTCTGTATCAGCTCCAAGCAGAGAGCTGAGCCTGGCCAATTAGAAGTCTGCCTGAAACAGTCCGTCCCCATGTCCCCCCACCAAGGCTCCTATGACCCCGAGAGCTCCTAGAACCTACGGGGCTACTGAGCTGCAGTTTCCCCTCATAACCCCACAGACTGGAGGGGCTATGGCGGAGCTTTTGCCTCAGTTCCTAGTTTTCACACCCCACCCCGGCGTTGCAGCCTGGTCCTGCCACCTCAGTTTGAACCCCAGGCCACTCAGCTGGTCTTGGTATCTAGTCCTGACAGCCCCTCTTCCTGGGAGCTAGACCCCTGCTCTGGGTGCTGGCCATGGCTGGAGGCCTGTGTTAACACTTGGACATTGATCTCAGCCCAGCGAGGGCCTGTGTTTTTGACACTACCATGGATGGTAAGATTTGGACTGCTGGTCCCTCCTTGGGGGCAAGTTCTACTACAGCTCAGTCAGGCCCCTGGCACTGGCCCTCCCAGGCCTGGCAAACTCCTCCCTCTGTGGTTTATCTCACAGGCAGGGGTGTGGGTACACGGGACACCAACTGCCACCGAGACTCAGCACCAGATCATCCTTGCTGCTTGTCAGGAGTCATGGTGGCTCCTAGAGCTGATGACTGGGCTTATTCCTGGTCACCATGCTGAAGGCCCACCTTGTAGCCAGTGCGTGGCTCCTGAGGATACTGCCCTAGTACCCCCAGCCCTCTGCAGCAACGCCCTTTCTCGTGCTCTATACCTTCTACCTAAACTGGTTAAGACAGACCACGATTGTCAGCCTCCAAAATAATGCTATGTGCTTCCGTCTAAATAATTGCATGTAGTTAACCGAATGACTGGGAAGAAGGGAGAACCATGTCCTGAACAAAGAGGAGGAAACAGAGACTCATAAGCAACTTCAACCTTGAACCAGGGGCCACAACCGTCACCTGCTGCTGCCTCTGTCCAAGGGCCATTCAAGGAGTAAGGGGACCATGTGAACCCGTCGTGCTAAGTCCTGCCTAGCATTAGCACCACCTGCGTACTGCGCTCAGCATCTAGATAGTGACCACCAGCAGCTGCTACTGTCACAGAAGACAGAACGACTGGAGACGATGCACATCCCAATGGAAGCGCACAGGGCCGCCTCTGCAGCACTGACTACCAGGTTACAGCAAATGTAGGAGACAGAAGCGCGAGATAAGGACACTCTGGACCTAACCAGCAAAATTCTGATTGTGGGAACTCTGCCGCCAAACGCTCTGGTTTCCTCACAAATAATATGCAAGGAGCAAAGAAGAGGCAGGGTGAACTCACGAACCCACAGCAACCAAATGCGACGTGTGACTCTTATCTGCATCTCGAACAGAACAAACCCAACGTACGATATTTGTGAGACAGTCTGAGCTCTGCATATCTGATGCACTTAATTTACTGGCCCTTTTTTGGGGGAAATAATGGTATAGCAGCTATTTTTAATAACTTTTGCAGTGACTGTTGTTATTCTTTAAAAGAGAGCCCATATCTGTTAGAGATACATACTGCAATATTATTATTTATAGATGAAATGATAGGATGTCTAAGATTTGCTTCACAATAATCCAGAGGGGGCTGAGGAGGAGATCTGGGTACACATGCAGCCAGACTGGCCGAGTTCACAAACACTGAAGTGGGGTGAATACAAAATTTAAAAGAAAGAAAGAACACAGCAGCCAGGGGGCACTTGGTCCCCACCCCCGGAGATGCTAATGTGTTGGTTTAGGGTGAGGCTTGTAAATCAGTAGTTTTAAAATCTCCCCAGGTGATTCCAACTTGCAGCTAGAGTTAAGAACCACTGCTGTACCATCCAAAATAACTCAGTCCAAATTCTCCCTCAATTTTTTCCTTAGTTCAATGAACCAGGGGCCACCAAGACAATGGCGGGAGAGGCTTATATTATCTCAATAATCACAGTGGCCATGTTGGTTTGATCAACTTACCTGAGGACTTAGGTCAAAGATTCTCCATCAGGGAAGTGTGTCCCCTTCCCACCATACATTCTTCTCCCCCAGCCCCAGGGAGGACATATTAGAATCCTCTGGAAAGCTGTTTCAAAACCACACCGACCCCCTGGCCATGGCGACTGGGAAGGCCGAGGCTGGAGGATTGCTCAAGCCCAGGAGTTCGAGGCTGCAGTGAGCTATGATTGATTGCTTCACTGCACGCCAGCCTGGGCAACAGAGCAAGACCCCATCTCAAAAAAATTTTTTTAATTTTTAAAAACCCTACATAGACCCCTGGGG